GAAGACACAAATAAATGGAAAACTATAATGTGCTCATGGACAGGAAGAATTAACATTGTTAAAATCTCCATACTACCCAAAGCAATCTATAAATTCAGTGCAATCCTTCTCAAAATATCAATGGAATTTTTTACAAAACTAGAATAAATAATCCTAAAATTTATATGGAACCACAAAAGACCCCAAATGACCAAAGCAATATTGAGAAAGAAGAACAAAGTTGGCGATATCATGCTACCTGATAGCAAACTATATTACAAGGCTATAGAAATCAAAACAGCATGGTACTGGCATGAAAACAGATCAATGATAATGAACAGAGAGCCCAGAAATAAACCCACATCTATATGGTCAGTTAATCTCTGACAAAGGAGGGAAGAATGTACAAAAAGGTAAAGACAGTCTCTTCAATAAATGCTCTTGAGAAAACTGGAAAGATGCATGTAAAGAAAATGAAACTAGATCATTCTCTTACACCATATACAATAATAAACTCAAAATAGGTTAAAGACTTAAATGTAAGACTTGAAACCATAAAATCCTAGAAGAAAACATAAGCAGTAAATTCTCTGAAATTGCCTTAGTATTATTATTATTATTATTATTTTTTTTTTGATATGTCTCCTTGGGCAAGGGGAACTAATGAAAAAATAAACAAATGGGACTATATCAAACTAAAAAGTTTTGCACAGCAAAATAAACCATCAACAAAATGAAAAGACAAGCTGCTGAATGAGAGATGTTTGTCAATGATACGTCCAACAAAGGGCTAATATTCAAAATACATAAGGAACTCACACAACTTAACACCAAAAAGACAATCTGATTTAAAAAATGGTCAGAGGACCTGAATAGACATTTCCCCAAAGAGGAAATACAGATGGCTAATAGACAGACATATGAAAAGAAGCTCAATGTCGCTAATCATCAGAGAAATGCAAATTAAAACTACAATGAGATATCACTTTATACCTATCAGAATGGGTATCATTAATAAATCAACAAATGACAAGTGTTGGCGAGAATATGGAGAAAAGGTAACCTCATGCACTGTTGGTGAGGTTGCATATTTGTACAGCCACTATGGAAAACAGTATGAAGTTTCCTTAAAAAATTAAAAATAGAACTGCCACATGACCCAGCAATCCAACTTCAGGGTATTGATCTGAAGAAATCCAAAACATTAATTTGAAAAGATATGTGCATCTTTATATTCACTGAAGCTTTATCTACAATAGCCAAGATATAGAAGCAAACTAAGTGCCCATCAAAAGACAATTGAATAAAGAGGTAGTGCATATATACAATGGAACATTACTGAGCCATAAAAAAGAATGAAATTTTACCATTTGCAACAATATGGATAGATCTAGAGGGTATTATGCTAAGTGAAATAAGTCAGACAGAGAAAGATAAATACCATATGATTTCACTTATACATAGAATCTAAAAAAACAAAGTGAACAAACAAAACAAACATTCATAAAGAGAACACGCTGATGGTTGCCAGATGGAGGGATATGTGGGGGGAGGGGGCGGGAAGAGTGACGGGATTAAGACGTACGAATTGTCAGTTACAACACAGTCATGGGGATGTAAAGTACAGCATAGGGAATATAGTCAATAATATTGTAATAACTATGTATGGTATCAGGTGCGTATCAGATAGATGTATGGGGGGAGTCCCTTTGTACGTTATATAAATGTCTAACAACTATGCTATACACCTGAAATTAATATATTGAATGTTAACTGTAATTAAAAATTTTTTAATTAAAAAAAAAAAAGCAAAAATTCAAAATAATCTGTGGTACCACTCAGAGAGAACAAGTGTCCACATGCTCAGGCTCCTGCCTAGCCCTCCTTCAGGCCTATATGTCTACACCTGAGAGGCCCAGTAGTCACTCTGTGACACGTGGACAATAGATGACAAACTGCACCTTGACCCCAATGTTAGAGCCAGGCAGTGGGCTTCAAAGCGCAGATTCCGTAAGCAGACAGGTTGAAGTGGCGTGTCAGGGTTGGGTACTTGGAAGTAAAGGAGGCTGGTGGCTCTGACGGCCCGATGGAGCTCGCCCTGGTCAGGCATGTCTACGTTAGGGATGAGAGGGACTGAGAAGCCATTCTCTTCCTATACTCCCAGCCTGAGTCTCTCCTGCTGTGCTTTGCTTATGTATGCAAAGAGCAGCCCCTTTGCGTACATAACAGGAGACTGCAAAACCCAAAATTTGTGCATCAGATGCTAATCTGTGTTGGGTCCTCAGCCAGGTCTCCTGGGATTCTACAGAGCACCAACACGCACCTTTTTCTACAAGAGTGTAGGTGTAGCAAAAATTACATCATAAGGCATGGAATGTTTTGGGACCTGGTATCTCCACTTAATGATATAGTGCAGACAATTTTCCTTTCCCATAGACATTTATCGACGGCGGTTTTCAGGTCTGAACAGCTTCCTCGTACAGGTGTTCCATAACACATTAGCCTACACTCCTATACCAGTGCTGCCATGAGCGACTTTATTTTCCACATCTTTCATTATTTCTCAGATCAATTCCAAGGATGTATATACAAATGTTAAGGCTTCTAAGAAACTGGATTTCAAAAGGAGACAACAATGTCTGAGAGAACTTGCTTCTCAAAATGCGGTGGCTGGGCCCAGGTGGGACGTCCTCGCCCCCTGAACCTCTGTTTCCTCGTCAGTCAATGGGTGTGATAGTGGTGCCCACCTCACAGGGACTGTGAGGACACCTGTGTTAGCATCCAGGCAGCACTGAGGGCAGCTGTTGGCACCTCAGTGTCCTGTGGGGCGTCTGCTGTGGCTGCTGCTGTCTTAGTTCTCTTGCTTGGGAAGGAGGAAAACGCTGCAGGGAGTAGGGAGTTGGGAGGGGCGGGTCTGGAAATGAGCTCTGCTCCCCTTCCCCGCTGCTCCAGCACCCGTCCATACAATTCTGGCTGTCTCCTTGGTGATTACTAGTCACCCTTGTGCTCTCATTATTTCCAGAAACCTCGGTAGTGGTGAGGTGGCCTGGGCCTATCCCCAGGGCCCAGGTGGCCTCCCATTGATTTCCCTTGGGCCCTGTCCATTCTCTGGGACGTGGGAATGCCAGAGTTCACCAGGACCTCTATCACTAGGCCACTGTAAGTCAGGAGGGCACAAAGGCCACCCTACCCTCACCCCCACCCCAGGCTGTGCACAAGGCAAAGTGGAAACAAAAGCTCTTCTAGGGACTAGGCGTCTCCCTTTCTATCCCAATGTGCCCTTCCCAAACAGAAATGAAGCAATCTCTTAGTCCTCAGGACGTCGGTTCTGGGTCATTCCTGGAGAGACTGAATCCTGTGGCTGCTCAGATATTTTTAGATGAAACAGAAACTGCACGGAAATTAAAGGCTACGACCTACCTGGGGTGTCGACCCAGCCAAGATGCACTGACAAGAAATGGACGGCTTGGGGCGCTCGGGCCCACCGCTCAGTCAGAACCACCTGCTGTCTCTGGACCGGGAGAAGGATGAACGAATGGGAGAAAAGGTGCCCCTCGGGGACACAGGACAAGCCCCGCCCACCTTGTCTGAGACTGCGGTAGGCACGGATTTCTGACTTGGTTTCACCTTTTTTCCGAACTGAGTCTTTACCAACAAGGTCTGACTAGAACCCAGTGCTGCGCGCCGGCGCCCCCACAGGAGGTGCGCAGAGCACAGAGAAGGGACAGCGAAGGGCGCTCCCTGGACTTCCCTAACCCCTCCCCTCCACGAAATCAATTCCCCGCGGCGCCCAGATCCTCCTTTTCCACAGGCTGCTTGTGCGGCTCCGTTCTTTGCTGGACATGTGCTCAGTGAGGGCAGGGTCCGCCTCGCTCGCTCTTGTGCCTCAGGCCCCGCGCACAGGCTGGCACTGAGTGCGCGTCTATTAATACGTGAATTAACTACTGCCTTAGAGTGTAGGAAACATACTGAAGGTGCTTAGGGAACACATCAGTTGCAAATAATTTTTAGAATAACTGAAGATTCCCACTTAAACCTCAGCTGTATTGAGTTATTATGGCCAAATCTCAGGGCAGTTGGGAATGTCTGCCAAAGAACTCTCCCTAGGCCCCTTTTTTGAATATAAAGGTGATGTATTCTCAGGTTCCAGGAATTAGGACATGGACATCTTGGGGGGAGGGAGTGATCATCCTGCCCACCAAAGCAGAGAGAAGGCAGCTTACATAAACTGCCTTCTCGATGCCTCTGATTTATGTCATTTCAGCCCATTAGGAGAGAACAGGCTCCATTAGCTTGTCTGTTGCTGTTCAGCATCATGTTCTCTAGAAAATGCACCCACTATCCTGCCCTGAATGCCACCCACAGCTGCCCTTGCTCTTCAGAAGCCTCCCTTTCCCAGTGCTTTGCCAGCTCTCAGATAACACAGCTGTCAGGGAAGAGCCTGCAGCAATGGCTGGGTCTTTAACACGGCTCTTGCACAGTTCTGCCTCCTTTTCACAGGGAATTCATGGGCTATGTGTAGGCAGCAGCCACACAGCCATGACAAGAGGCAGGAAGAGGGGAGGTGGGGGTGCCCCTGAGGGTAGAAGGGCAGGATTTGGAGTGGCTTCCACGGAGTCTGGACTGCCAGAGCGAGTGGGAATCCCAGGCTACGCATCTACACAGAGCAAATGTCCTCGTGAGCACATGTCCTGAGGACAGGGGATCCTCACAGAGCTAGTGTCCTGACAAGCACATGTCCTGGGGAAGAAGCATCAGCCTGACCTTCACCTTGACCTGGACCCCTCCCAGTCTTTGCTGGCCCCTCTCCAGACCTGCCTTGGCTCTGCCCAGGCTGACCCACCGCTGCTTGACTTCAGGTTATTAAACAGAAGGGCCATAGGTCCATTGGCCAGAATTGGGTTTTCCCTGTGGATGTGGACAAGAATGGCCCCGTTAGGACAACTGGGGCAACAAATGTAGGACAACTGACTTCCCATCTGACCAAAGTCATTTACTTACAAAACGGCACAAAACTCAACTCGCCACTCTGGGATCATGTTCTTTCTCCAACACAGGGATGAGGGCAGTCATGAGACTATACATACCTGAGGAGGTACAGAGCACGCTGTGAGGGTGGGGTGGAGCTATCTCTGCCATGGGACCCTTCTCTCAGGTGGCCCTCGGTGCGGGGGTGGCCTGTTCACCTGCATCCTCCAGATTTGTGGCAAGCAGCTACCTGAGCTGCAAGCTCCTATATCTCGGAGGATTTTTAAATCCAAATGCTGCGACTAGCCCTGTATTGCTGTCACTTACTGTTTTGTTCCTTCTCTGATCTCAGATTTTCCTTTCCCTGGGATTGGAACAAAGATGCCTTAGAACCTCATGTACTGGAGAGGAAAAGACGACCACACTCTAGGAAGGGAGAAAGCAATCTCAGACAGCCTGTAAGCCCACTTTGTGGGGAAAAGTGTGTGTGTGTGTGTGTGTGTGTGTGTGTATTTACATATGTTCATTACATCTACTCTATGCATAAAAATTGTAAATAGGAAATATGAAATTTAGCAAAGTCGGTTATGTCCCAAGGGTAGCATTAAGTAAAACGTTTGCTTCCTTTGCTGTGCATGTCTGTACTGTTGAATTTGAATATTTTTACAATGAGTGTATAATTTTACGATTTTTCTGCAATCATAAAACATACATAACATTTTTAATGAAATGAGAAAAATACTGTTGAAGTATATTTGACATGGAAAGATGTATGGAATGAGAATTTACAAAATGGCAAGAAAAACAAATTCTGTTTTTCTGAGGAAAGATGTATCAAAATAAAGAGAAAGTATCTTCAAGGATGATATTTTGGTACAGTAAAATGTTTAAAATGCTTATCTCTGAGGGGTAGAATTTGTATTTCTATGTTCTCATGCCTAACTGTATTTTTTTAAACAATGAACATGTATTACCTTGTGTTAAAGGGGATAGTTAAATTACAGCCCCTTACCCCAGTGTGGCGTGGGGAACAGTAAGGGGCTCCAAGTGACAGGGCCCTGGGCTCTTTCTTGGCCACTGGGAGCTTCTGCTTGACCAACTCTGCCCATCGCTTTGCTCCCTGCTCATGCAGTGGCCCTGCTCGTGTGGTGGCCCTGCACTTGAGCTTGGAGGAGCAGCCCAGCAACACAGAAAGCCTCGATTTGAGCCCTGACTGGCACCTACCAGTGGTGTGACCTAGGACAAGCTGACATAGTACTTTGGCCTTGATTCCTTTACTTGAGAGAGGTAATAGCTGGCCAACCCCGCTCTTAGCATCAGAGGGTTTTGTGGTGAGATAATGCGTACGTGGACTGGAAAGCTCTCTGTACACATTCGTTGTTGTCATTTCGTTCTGTATTATTATTAACTGTAACTCTGCACTGTGACTCTCATCTCAGACAGCATTCTTAGTTGTCCACAGCCCAATTAATTTTTGGCCAGCCTTGTGAGTATTTGTGGATTTTTACACTCTTGTGAACACTTGCTCTGTAACAGCTGTTCACCTCTCCTTAGTGAGCTTGGACACTTCCTTTGTATTCACTGCTAGTGGCTTTGTGATTTAATTTGTGAGAAATAGAAAGGACTTCTGCCAAAAGCTATCTGCCCCATCAGCCTGCCCTAACGGATTGTCAAGAATGAGTTCTTCGAGTAAAGGAAATGAAAGCTGGAAGCAGGTTCCACGCAGCAGGCCTGCAGCCCCTCCTCAGAGAGGCCTGGCTACCCTGCCCCAACGCCCCAGTGAGGGCCTGTGTTTTGTTTTCTGCTTCATCCTCTGCAAAAGAGAATATACCTGTATCAATTTAGATGTTAACAGTCACCTGCAGGAGGATTAGTGGGCCACCCAGTCTGACTAAGTAGTCTCCTCTAGGGCACAGCCAGCTGGGAGGTGCTCTTTAAAAGCTCCTACAGAAACAGCAGTCTTCAGCAACAGGCCTTACAGGGGTTTAACTATCTTTGTTAAATCGCCTTAATCCCAAATCCACAGAATGTTCCCGTCCCCACTCTTCTCCCTGTGCTCACTCACCTCCCCAAGGAGCAGATCTGAGGCATCACACATTTCTGTAGCATTTTCCCTCCTAGGTCATCAAGTTTATCGTTCCAAAGGACATACGTAACTCTTTACATGAAGCAAGCATTTCTCCTCCCCAAGACGGAGTTGAAGCATCTCTCTTTCTGGCTACAAGCAATTTATAATCCTCCAACCTCCCAGCCAGCTTTCTAAAGTCTTTCCTCTGTATCCTCAGAGTCTTTTCAGGCCAGCAAAGAGAAACACAATAATAATCTGCTGAAATAATAACAGAAATGTTATATGCGTGTGTGTGTGTGTGTGTGTGTGTGTGTGTGTGTGTGTGTGTGTGTGTAAATTTTATTAAGAGAACTGGAATTAAAAGAATCCCAAAGAGGTTCAGTCACTTATCCAAGTTCCCAGCAAGTCCATATGAAGAGGAAAACAGATGGCAAATCTCCCTTTTCCTGAGTAATTAAACTACGCTGAGTTCCAGCAGACACCAGGGCCAAGGGAGTCAGAACGTATCCCAGTGTTTGCAAGTCATTGTTCCCTCAGGTGACCTTGGTGCCAGGAACTTCTTGCTCAGCTCATACAGATTCCACCATGGGCCCGTTAACACGTGAGTCAATGGCCCTCTTTTGCCCCAAAGCCCTTCAAATCTCCAGGTTCCCAACCGAATTAAGCAAAAACACTTTGGGGCCTGGTGTAGTAGACTTCTTTTGGAGATGTGCCTCATCCTCTCCCCTTAGGGTTGGGCCTCGCATCCTCTTTGTAACAACGAACACAAAACTCAATCAGTACCCTGGGTCAGGCACTATGTTTGTCCCATGTGGCCTGGACCCCATGGGCAGAGTGGACTGAGCTAGGAGTGACACCTAAGCCAAGCTGTGCCCGTCTAACCCTCCCCCCACGAGTGAGGAAATGGGACTCTGGAACTGAAGGTGGGTTGGCTGGGCGGCAGCCGTCCTGGGCCCACGTGCAGGAAAAGCAGAGAGAGAGCTGCCACAGACGGGGAGAGAGCGAGGCCGTTGTGATGACGGTCTGTGGACAGTGGTCCCAGGGAAACAGAAAAAGTGTACCCCAGTTCCTCGTAGCTCTCTTGTTCTGTCCCTGACCCTCCCAAAGCCCAGCTGTGCCTCTTCCACTGAGTTCCATGGGGGCTGCCCTTGTATCCCACCAATACATTGTTTTTATCCTGTTACTTTTAACTAGACAATCCTTAAGACACTCAGCTCACCTTGGCTAGAAAGTTTACCAGTTCTTCGGTGCTAAGCAGCTGCCTTTTAAAATAAGAGTATCCTCTGAAAGGTGCAGGCAAGGCATCACTGGAAATGGCTAAGGGTGTTTAGCCATTTTGGTCGCTCGTACCTCAGTGTGAACCAGTCCAGTAACTTCCCTTCCTCCAAGACTGACTAGCTAAGATCAGGGATATTTGGGGGATTCATAGTTTTGATGAGAAACAAAAAAGAAAGAAGTTTTAGAGGA